CCCCAAAAACCCCAAAACCCCAAAACCCCAAAACCCCTGGAAGAAATTAGGAGATTGATAATAGATTATTAATAAAAATGGTAATAGTGAGGAGGACATAATTTGGTTTTAAGACTTTTTGAAGGGGTTTTAGAGTTATATGATATCTGAGGTAGTTTTAAAGGTGTTTATTGAGTGCAGATTTGAATTTTGAGTGATGAAGTGTGATTTGGATTAAGTTTTGGATGTTTTAGATTCAATTTTTAGGAGTGACAATTAATGGAAAAAGATAGAATGAGCGATAAAGTTTTGAATGAGAAGAGAAAGACTACCCTAAAATCCCAGAAAATATCATGATTAAGAAGCCTCAAAATTTTAATGATTCTTAAATTATTATTGATGTGAGTGCAGATTGCAAAGTCATCGTCAATCCAATGACCTAACACTGTAACAATTTCAAATCCTGAGTACCTTATATACACAACTTTCAACACCACAGATACCACATTTTCTCACATAAAGGCTACTCTAGGCCCTTCGGGAGCAACTTACTATGCTTCTGCTTCAGGGACGCAAACTGTAGTATTTAGCAAAGAAGACACCACCGGAAATATTGTGTGGTCGAAGTCCTATAACCCCTTAAAAATCTTTCAGAAGGGATTCATGATATCATGGGATGAAGAAACACTTTATGCCATGAGTGACTCAAGCACCACTAGCATAGCAATTTACAAGATAAGCCCCTCTACTGGAGAGCTTGTTAAAAAATATGAAGAGTAAGTTACACCTTATTTTTAAATCCAGAATTTAGAATTTTATCATATTAATATTTTCTTTTTCTTGAAATTTTTAGAAAATTATGAAGAGTAAAACATTTATGTAAAGCACACCAAATCAATAGGATGACAAGCAGATAACTTTCATTTTTTAGTTCTCATTCACACATTCTTGAAATATTCAAATAGATTGCATCAAATTTTCTGTAAAATTCCATATTTCAAATCAAAAATTTATTTAATAAAAGAAATCTGAATTTTCCTAGGAAGACAATTAATAACTTTATAGGACTAACCACAGAAGTTACGCAAGTTCCAGAACAATGTGGAGCAAATTTCAGTTATCTCCTGATAATACGGTGATGTTCTATACAGCAGTGACTTCAGCTCATAAAGGAGTGCTATGAAAATTTACAGTAACTGGCACAACTTCTGATTGTTTTGAAGCTGGAAATTTACAAGACTTGACCACTCTTTTGTATGTAAACTCTACACATTTATTCATCACAGCAAGAGATATTAGCACATACAGACCGATAATTGCCATGGTTGAGTGGGGCCAGACTACTCCTGCCTGGCAAAATAGAAGAGGCTGTTATCCAGCAAGTGCTTGTGAAGTCAGACTTGGAAGTGCCATGCTGAGTGCAGACAAAACAAAAATCTATAGCTTTTTCGCTCAAAACTCGTAGGTTTAAAATTTAATGGATTTAGAGCGAGGTACCTTACATTCGCAATATATAATGTTGATACTGGTGCCATAGTAGGCCAAAGGTATACAACAAACACCAATACTTTCCAAGGATGATGGGATGTACAGCTTCGTGGAGATATTCTCTACTGCCTTGTATATCAAAACTCATATGCAGAACTCTACACTTACAATATAGCTTCTGATAGCTGGCTTGATTATTTCAGGACAGATTCACCATTCGGAAGCCTCCTCGAAAACAGCCAAAGAGATGTGTAAACTTACAGCTTTGATTTATAGAATTATTGTGTATGGACAGAAAAATAATAAAGCATATAAAATAGGATTTTACAGAGGTGTGTCAAATTCATAACTTTTAGAAAATGCCACAACACATGAATCAGTCTCTGCATCAACGTATAGCATGGTGGCTGCAAGCGCAGCTCATTCAGAAGAAGTAGGGGGATCCTGGATTACTTTTGGTTCAATCTACAATGTTGCAATGACTGAATATGATTCTTCTAATGCTACAGAAACAATTTCAGATGTTCAGTTTATCATTGACAACACAAACAGCTGGGAGACAAACATTTTTGAAAATGCTACAGCTGCGATTGTTAATTTCACTTCTGAGGATAAAATATCTATTGATCCAAACTGAACATGAACTACCACTCCTGAGAGAACTGATATCACATATGCTATTGAAAGTAATAATGGAGAGATTATCCCAGACTGGATTGAATTGAATATGACATCAAAGAAATATGAAGGGATAGTTCCTAATGTTACTAGTACAACTAATTATACCTTTGTGTTGAAATCAACTTGGACAACTAAACCAGCAGGAAGTTCTCAGCAAATAGTCACATTCACAATAGCTCCGAAGCCAGTAGCAAATACAACTGAACCTGAAGAAGAGCCTATTGCTTTGTCTTCAGCTGCTGCTGCGGCAACAGCAGGTGCTGCAGGTGGAGGTGCAGCAGCAGTTGCAGTTTCTGCCGCTAGTGGGAGTCCTCCTACTGCTGTATACTTTATCCTCCACCAACTTCAGCTAATTATCTTATGCTTAATGATAGATCCATACATTCCAAACTCGATGAAAGCTTATCTTGAAGGCCAAAGCTTTGCTCTAGTAAATTTCAACTTTATCCCGACTACAGAGTTGCCTGGAATTGATATCCCAGTAGGTTGGATGCATGGAGAGCAAGCTAATGAAATACTAGTTACATTAGGCATTGAATCAAAGAGCACTTTTGTTAATAATATGTCACTATTCATCTTCATTTTCTCCTTGGTTACCCTCCATCTGCTGCTAAGATTTGTACTTATCTGAGGATCAAGAGACCCAGAGACTCAAAATAGGTTTTTTAAGTTCTGGAACTGGCTCAGATTGAAAATTCTTGACATTATTAAGTATGCACTTTACATGAGGCTTTTAATAGAGTCCCACGAAGCACTAATGCTTTCTTCTTGATCTGAAATTTATGAGTGGGAATTAAACACCTTCTCTAGTTATGTATCCATGGTGGTAGCTATTTTTATACTGATAGTGAGCCTGTTGCTCCCATTTCTAGCTTTCTATGCCTTCTGGAGGTACAGAAACCATTTCGACCCAGATAAGAAGTTCATCTTAATGGAATTCCTGTCCGATCTCAGGAATGCTAAAGTTGCTAGGATTTACATGACCCTTATGCTCGTTAGAAGAATCATCTTTGTATGTGTGGTGATATTTCTGATTGCAATTCCAAGAGAATTCATCTACAGCATCTTGATAAGTAAGAATTAATGTTTAATATATAGTCACTCAGTTTGCCTATATGGTGATTCTTGCGATAATTAGGCCATTTGACAATGTGATTAACAATATTCTAGAGTACATCAATGAAGTGTTCCTTTTCATTGTTATCTGCATCCTACTGTCTTATGACAAAGAGTCTAAGTGGACAGATGCAGCAGAAAGCCGACTCCTCACTGTGCTAATGATAAACGGATACTTAATCTTAGCCGTAATGATCGGTATGTGTACTTCTAATTTTTAGTTGGATTTATCATAGTAATCATCCAAAAATGATGCATTAAGAAGAAAGAGAGAAAGGAGCTTTACCAGCAAAGCAACTCATGTCAAGACAATGAGACTGGAGAGCAAAAAAAGCCTAACGAGCATACATTAAAGACCAACCTGCAGGTATCATTAGTTTATAAAATCAAACTTGATTTCATAATAGACAATCTTTGAAGTTATTTTTATCCTATAAGCTCTCAAGATCAATATTTAGTGCCATGAGGAAGAAGAAAAAGTAGCTGAAATAAATACAGAAAATTACAGAATGAAGTTTAAATTGGGAACACCAGAGCGCGGACATTTTGAAAGTGAAGAAATGGAATAAATTAAAAACCACTAATCTCTCTGTAAAACTTGATAAAACTCTATCTATATTCTAGAATATTCATCAAGTTCAATGCCTCTCTAATACCCTGGGGTTTTGGGGTTTTGGGGTTTTGGGGTTTTGGGGTTTTGGGGTTTTGGGG